GCTCAGGTCCTGATCTCGGGGTTGTGAGACAGAGTCCATGTGGGGCTCTGCGCTCAGCAGGAGTCTGCTTGATAGGCTCTCCCTCTCCCTTCCCCTCTGCATGTTCTCTCTCTCTCAATCTTTAAAAGAATTGACTTTAGAAATTTTCAGTATATTTTATTACTAAGCTGTCTTATTAAGGATTTGGAGAACCAACTGCATTTAAGTTCTGACAGTAGGATATTAAATATGAGGGGCATAAAGAAATAACTTGAGACAATTTAAATAAAATGAAACTGAAAAAAATTTTAAGAAATTTATTTACCGGATATAACAGGAAGCATGAAACTAATAGTCTAGACAAAAAAGTGAGGTGTGATTGCGGACAACTTAAGATATCTATTTCTTTCTTTCTTTTTTTTTTTTTTTTATTCATAGAGATGCAGAGAGAGAGAGAGAGAGAGAGAGAGAGAGAGGCAGAGACACAGGCAGAGGGAGAAGCAGGTTCCATGGAGAGAGCCTGACGTGGGACTCGATCCAGGGTCTCCAGATCACGCCCCGGGCTGCAGGAGGCGCTAAACCGCTACACCACCGGGGCTGCCCTAAAATATCTATTTCAATTCTGCATTCAATTTATTCCTATTTTACACGGAAATCACTTTGAAAATTCAAACTTCAGGCAAAAAGGTAGAGGCAAAGGGCAGACTGCATTGAACAGTCTAGGGAAGTTACCTATTGTATTTATGCTTAGACCTTGAAATTCTTTGCATAGCAGAATTTATTGTATTTGTATGTTTATTTTCTATTCAATCAAGGCCTGTGCTATTAAATTTTGCCTTGTTTTCATTTTCCTAAGAAAACATCAAAGGTAACTTCATAAGTAAGAAAATCCCTATTATTATTCTTTGAATCATCCATCTTGAACTGAGATGTTACTCAAGGTGGGAAAATAATGAATCCAACTCCTTTCTATAATTTTAGCACTAAAATTCAAATTTTATGGCTACGATTTGGTTGAGAGCAGAAACACAGCCTTACATAGAAGATCAGATTTAATAATTTAAATCATTCTGTCAAATACATGTATGTCAAACACATATAAGAGTTTAAGGACAGGAACAACTGGCATCTGATTTTACACTAACTCTCAAAAAGAGCAGTTATTTGAACAATGACTGAAAATGGCTGTGGCATATTGTAAATTTTCTCTAAGTTCATAAACCACAAAACAACATACCCCTTTAAGAGCTTAGGTTTGATAGATATAACAAAATTAACATCAGTTGATCATATTAGTAAAGTTTGCAAGCCTTCTTTACCACCAAACGCTGACAGTACCTAGGCACCCTTATAAATTTTTCTTTTGATTGTAAACATCATTTACTACTAATCCAATTGCCAAAAGAGCAATTTGTTCTTTTTATCTCTTTTGGCACAAATATTTCTCCCAGAAGCATTCACATTATAAAATTATTCAAGATAATTAAAATTTCCTCATGGGTGCCACACAGCAATTTACACAAGTAAATTTCAATCATGAATATGTTAAAAACAGAATTTTCAGCTATATTTAGTGACTCATACCAAAAGCATTACATTTTTCATTGAAAACACAACAGATTTTATGTCATTTGCCATTTACCAATTGCCCTACTGATTACAACATTCTTACTTTATCTGTAGTACTTTTCATCAGCCCCACATTTACGTTACTTTGTAAGATTTTATTTATTTATTTGAGATAGAAAGGGGGGAGGGGTGAGAGGGAAAGGAGAAGCAGACTCCCCATTGAGCAGGGAACCTGAAAGGCAGGGCGAGGTGGGGGCAGTGGTGCTTGATCTGGGGAGTCTGGGATCATGATCCTGGGGTCATGACCTGAGCTGAAGGCAGACACTTAATCGACTAAGCTACAGAGGTACCCCTACATTATTTATAATATAAGAACTGACAATATTTTCCAATATGGTACGATTACATGCCATTGCTATTCTACTGCTTACTTGATAACATTTCTAAAAACTTATCTAGACAATCAGTCTAATGTGAGAAATAATTTTTGTCATTTCTTTTTATTAGCCTGGTTCTTGATAATAAGCAAATAGTAAGTTTTCTGAATTACAAGCTAACTTGTTTCCATGACTTCTGTTTATAGTACTAACCATGACAGTACTAAATGGGGAATTTTCTGCTTTATCTTGTTTCTTATTTGGAAAGCCAGTGTCTCAAAATTTTTGTTGTAGATTACAAAAGAAGCAATGATCTTAACTGCTGACAGTGTACCTAAAGATGTTATTTCATTTAATATCAAATGATATATCTAGTTATTTTAACTTTAAAATATATATAACAGAAGTATATAATTTAAGTGTATATTCCGCAAATTGCAATGTAAAAAAAAAAACTAAACACAGCTCAAAAAGGAAAAAGTGAGAAAAAAATGGAAAGAAATATTATTTCTGAATGTTAGGCAACAAAAATATAAAAATGAACTCAATATATAAAACACTGCCATTATTTAATTCTGACAGCATCAAATATATGAAACACCAATATTCTACAACTTCTGGAATATCCACATTCCACATGTGGTGAACAGCTTAAAAAATATGGCATTAAATAAACCTAAGAGAATGACGGAAGAAGGGATATATCCACATAATCATACAGAATCACTGACTCCTGTCAGTATTTACCCATTTTTCTGGGTATTGTTAAATCAGCAAAGCATCATTTTAATAGCTAAGATTAAAGAGAACTGCAGACATACTACCTAGAACAGACAACAGAAAACATTCCAGTTATAAAATACAGCAAATGACCTTTGTTTAAAAGATGCTGGACAACATTCAAGAAAGGCTGTTTGATTAGAAATTTATAAGGGAGAGGAAATAAGGTTAGAAATGTGACATTTTCTATGCTTATAAATCCGTAAGAAGTTAAATGATACCTATTTCTTTCTGAAAAGTCAATTGCCCTCCAGTCTACAGTAGGAGTACAATACCAATCAAAAAGATTTCTTTTTCTAAGAGTTAAACTGAAGTAAAACCAAGCTGGCTTCCAAGGGACCAATTAAGAAACTTATGCCTGGGCTATATAAGATTCTTTGGGGATTTGTAAATATTTCCATTCTAGTTTTCCAGAGACAAAAATATAAAAAGGAAAAAATTAGACAAAGAAGTGACCTGTGGTATTTGGCTACTACTCTTCCAACTGGCTCATTAATAAAAGTTTTCAATATTATTTGATTTCTACTCTAAAAACTACTTACTGAGTTCAATGACTAATCTATTATCATAAGGTCAGTTCTCAACACATATACATTATCTACCAGTCACTAATGCAGTGGTATTAGTTAAGAGAAAAATCTTTTTTTTTTTTATTTTTTTAATTTATTTATGTATGATATATATATATATATATATATATATATATAGAGAGAGAGAGAGAGAGAGAGAGAGAGAGAGAGGCAGAGACATAGGCAGAGGGAGAAGCAGGCTCCATGCACCGGGAGCCCGATGTGGGATTCGATCCCGGGTCTCCAGGATCGCGCCCTGGGCCAAAGGCAGGCGCTAAACCGCTGCGCCACCCAGGTATCCCCATGAGAAAAATCTAATACACTAGTTTTCACTGAAACACAGCCATCCCTCACACCAAGGACAGAAAACAGATGCATCTGAGTTTCTTTTATTTAGAGACATAAAATTAAGGTCAAGGAATAGATGGAAATGAATCTTTTTGGTAACTGATATTAGGAAAAATTAGTTATCTTGTATAGTTACCACGACCTTGATTTGAGTTTTTCTAGAGGTATGACATTAATTTCAGCTAACCTGTTAAGAATTTTTCCCTTAGAATTTTTAAGTTTCTCAGGACATCTGGGTGACTCAGTTGGTTAAGTATCTGCCTTTGGTTCAGGTCATGATCTCAGAGTCCCTCATCTGGCTCCCTGCTCAGTGGGGAGTCGGCCTCTCCCTCTGCTCCTCTCCCTGCTCATGCTTACTCTCTCTCTTTTTTTTCTAGATTTTTATTTATTCACGAGAGACACAGAAAGAGGCAGAGACATAGGCAGAGGGAGAAGCAGGCTCCCTGCAGGTAGCCCGATGTGGGATTCGATCCCAGGACCCTGGGGTCATGAGCTGAGCCCAAGGCAGATGCTCAACCCCTGAGCCACCCAGGTGCCTCCTTCTCTCTCTAATAAATAAATTAGAAAAATCTTAAAAAGGAAAAGAATTTATGAACTTCTCAAAAGTTAAATAATTGAGGGTAAAAAGGTTTCTTATTCTAAGAAAGAGGTGTACATGTGTATATATCAAAGGAAGGAAAAGTGATTGCCTTCCTGTTTGTCCTACCTTCTGAAGTTTAAAAGCTAAATTTTAAGTATCTCACAAAAAAGTCTGCAGTGTAATCTAGTGATGTAAAAATAAATAAATGAAGAAACTATTTTTCAAGTAGAGAGAATACCTCCAATTTATAAAATCATAAAATAACTGTTAATAAACCTAACAATGGTAATAAAAAAGATAATTATTTATAAATTCTTCTGAAATAAAAGCGTTTAAAATTGTGATTCTCAGATTTAGAGATGATACGTCCTGGCTGCAAAATATTTTCCAAAATCGAAATTTACCCAAAGCAATGACATGATTCTTGCTTTAAACTGGATTAAACATATACCAAACTTAAAAGTGTACGGGTAAAGGGAGGTTAGAAAGTTGTCAGTCTAGGGGCACCTGGGTGGTTCAGTTGGTTAAGCGCTGGACTCTTGATTTCGGCTCAGATCATGATCCCAAGGTCATGAGATCGAGTCTTGGATTAGGCTGAGTGTGGAGCCTGTTTAAGATTCTCTCCCCCCATCCCTGACATGTGCTTTTTCTTAAAAAAAAAAAAAAAAAAAAAAAAGTTGTCAATCTAGGATAGTAGGAAAAAAATTTAGAAATAAAGCAAAACTTGTAACCAAATACTAAATTTTTATAGCAATGGCCAAGGTTAATATTAAATATTAACTGAGAGTTAATACTTACAACATAAGAATTGCTGGGCTAAGTAGGGGAAGTGTTCTATTATGGTCTTCATTCTATCATTATTAAACCTAGAAAAATATAAGAGCAAAGACTTTAAAAATTTGATCACATTATGTAAGTTAGAAAATTTTCAACTGAAGTTGATAAACATGATTTTCTGATCCGTATACAGCACAATCACAGATTATAAATACCCAGCAGAATTTATATATTTCAGTTCAGAGTGTTATCATTAATTTTTTAAATTCACTTTTCTATTACTATTACCTTCTCAAAGTTTAAGAACCAAATATGTTAAGTGCAACTAAAACTCATACTTCAATGTCTAACCTAGAACACATCATATAATTGCAGATATTTTAAGATAAATTCAAGATTATACCTCAAAACTGACCAGTCTTTCTTTTAAGCACACATATATGCACATGTACAAATGCAAAATCTAATAAAAATCCACGTATTGCCTAATTCCAAGAATTCTACTGTATTATAAATGCAGAGCTTAAGCTGGACTTCAAATGCTTAAAGAAATGTCTGAAAATAATGTTATGATCTATAGTCATAACAAAAGAAAATACCATTATGAAATTGTGTGAATTCAAGAGTATATGCAAGAGCAGTGATAAAAACTATTTCTAAGGTTGTCCTTTATTTACAAGATTAGGAAGTATTAACAGCCAGTATGCAAAGAAAGGAAACATTAGTTTATCTTTAAAAATGAAAAAATTTAAAAATATCCCAATTTAAACTGGTTACAATGTTTACTTTCTGTGGGCCATGACTGTAAATTGTGGTTCTCATACCAACTAGTGGTTAAGTACTTACTATAAGATATAGAACAAGTAGAATAAACTCATTCATGCTTTTAATGGAGCATTCTAAGTATACATCTTATTGCAGAATATCTTCATCAAAATAAAGACAGTACATTTTTAAATATACTTGAAAAAAAAAAAAACTCAGATCCACAGAAAAATCAAGACAATACCAACATGAATCCCCGCATCCTACCCCAAGCTTCTGACTGAATTAGAATATCCTGGCATGCTTATTTTGTTCTATGTAGGTTTTTAAAGAGTTCAGTTATTTGAGAGAGAGAGAGGGAGACAGAACAAGCAGGGAGTGGCAGAGGGAGTAGCTGACTCCCCGCTGGGTAGAGCCAGACTGGGGGGGAAGGGGGGGCTCAATCCCAGGATTCTGGGACCATGACCTGAGCTGAAGGCAGATGCTAAACCACTGACTGAAACACCCAGGTGCTCCTTATGTATCTTTAATAAAAAAGACAATAGTGTTAAGTCCTTTTTGTACCATATCCTGATCCCATTCCCCTCCCTCCTAACATAAAATCACAACCCTGAATTTGGTATATATTTCCTTTGCATGTTTTTACACTACTACTATTGTAAATTCAAGTACTTAAAACTATATATCATTGCTTTCAAGATTTAAATGTATATCATATACACACTCCATAAAAATGTTATTATATAGTATACAACATTTTGCAACTTGTTTTTGTTTGAAGACATTCATTCATGATCAAAGAGCTCTTATTTTAATAGCAATGTAACAAACAGTTCATCATATGACTATGCCACATTTGCCATTTTCCTGTTGTTTAATATTTATAGTGCTTTTGATTTTCCCCATTAAAAATAAAAGTAAACAAGATTTTTCCATACATGTCTTAGTTTATCTAGAACATCTAGGAATGGAATTGTTGGGTTCAAGACTATGTATCTTAACTTTACTAAGATATTGTCAGATGCTCCCATAAGCAGCACATGAAAAGTTCTTTATTTTCTCCAGTATTTGGAAGTAGATTTAAGAAAAATAGCCATTAACTAGAGGAAAAATTTAAAAATCCGTAAGTGATCAAATCCTTCCGTTTTTATCAAGTGTAGATCTAATAACATAGTTATAAATTATAACTAAATAATACAAACAAAAGACACTAAAATTTGCCCAAAGGTACTTGCACAAAAATAAAGCTCTCATAATACAGATTTTCCTTATATGATTAAAGAAATACCAAGACTTAATTTAGAACTACTGTGGTAGAAATGATAAGATTCAGAATTAGTTACTGAGCTTAGATCCACAATGACCAAAGGACAGTGGGGAAGAGGGAGCAGAAAATATAAATGGTTTATTAGTGTGAAGAATCCTCCCCCATTTCATTTTGGGCAGTGCTCCTCTCATGTGGTGCTTCTAAAAAAAATTCACTTGGAACTTGTAAAAAAAAAATACAAATTCCTGAATCCTAGCTCCAAAGGATCTGATTCAGCAGAATCTGGTAAAATGCTTTATTCAAAGTTATTCTGGTACAGGTGGTCCATAGACATTTTATGTAGTAATTCATAGTAAAACAAGGTGTTTTAAGTATGAAGGATTTTGCAACTCACTTTTTGCTTAAAAGCAGGTAACTAATTAAAATGTTATCTGTTAATTACATCAACATACTAAAGAAAATATCTTAGCAAAAAAAAAAAAAAAGCAATTTCAATTTATGGTTGAATATGTCTGACTTCACGTTAGACCAGGTTTTGGGCTCATTTATTATTTCAGATTATGATTTCAGATACCTAAGCACACTAAAACAAAGCTTGTTTTGATAGTATTCATATTCAGAGTTCACCATGATTGCAAGGGACAACATTAAGACTGGGAGTGACTGTGATTTAAATGAAGGTGACCAAGGAAAAACTATGATTACCTTTTTAAAAAAATGTTACTGCAAATGTCAGACTTTAAATTGGGACATTAGACTTATATACTAAAATGAAATGTCATTTGTAGTTTTCTATCTAGATGGCTACCAATGAAATCAGAACTTTTTTTTTTTTGAAATCAGAACTTTAATAGTGATCTAATATTCATTTCCCTGTAACTACAACCTATTAGAATCTTATTTAGATACAAAAGAAAAAAAAAAGCACAGATATCTGGGTTATGCAGATGTGTGAAAATTCAAATTGCAAAGATAAAAAACATCCTTCTGCATCATTTGATATTTTATAAAGCCCTATTTCCCAAAGATTTAAAATAATCTGAACTTCCAGATATAAAACATTATTTTACTAGAAAAAGTAAAGAGTAAATTTCCAAGTGCAGCCTGATTTTCTTTAGTTAATACAACACTAAGCAGTATGGGGCATTCTTTTTAGTTATAGTGAAATCAATAAGATTTTGGTCTTGTTTAGACGGGGCTCAGAATATGGTCCCAAAGTGAAAGGAATACTCCAGTGTGACCATAGTCAACTTTTCTTTCCTTAATACAATACCTAAACTTGTGTTATCAGTAACTAATAATATTTTTTCCATCTACCAGCTTAAAAGTAAAAAGCATGAAACCATATATACTTCTAGAAAATGGTTTTCCATTCAAACAGATGGAATTAACAGATTAAAAATTAAATGAACTAAAACTGTAGAGTAAATGATAGAAAAATAATATAGCTCTAAGAACTATAAGCAACTACTGTTCTTTTCATGCAGCTTTCGGAAGAAAGTACCTTTTTGTCAAAGAATGTATTCATTATACTAAATACGGATTTTAATGACAGTTGGGCCCTTCCTACCTGGTCTGTGAAAGCTGGTGGGTGCAGGCTCCTTTGGCCACCATTATTGCATATTGATGCTATTCTGTACAACAGCTGACAAGCAGCAGCAATCTCCCAGCCCCTGCTCCCCCAGCTGTAAGGGACAAGAACAAGGGCTGTGGTGATACTTGTTTATTCATTGTTGTTGCTGCTGAAGCAGCAAGCTAAGAAAAGCATATGCAATTGACACAGAAGACAAAAATGGTTCCACATCCCATCTACCTAGCAGGTCAGCTTACATCACTCTACTATGATAAAATTACTTAAGAAGAAATTTTTTTCTTTAAAAAGTAGGGTGGGAAGAAGAGATTTAAGACAAAATTAGTGTTTTGATTAGAAAGGGGACCTATAATGTATCCAAGGAAAAAAATTAATGACACATGTAATGATCTTCAGCTCCTAGTTTAGATTTAACTCAATTACCCAAATTCTCTCAGAAGAGTTTTAAACAAGTTTGGCATGAATTCATTAATTCATATTATCTTCCCTATCCATTCTCCTGGAAAACAAGTACCTAAACTTTAATCAAGAAATGAAATTATATTTTGCTTATAAAAGGTTCCAGGCTCCCAAGTTCCACATATCTAATCATCACCATATGTTTGACATCAGACTCTATTAACAAAGAAATAAGATTTTTGCCCATAAAATTTTTTAAACAAAAACTCCAACTATTAAAAAAAATTTCCACGTGTAATTTATCTACTTTAAATGTGTACTACAAAGCTAAAAACTTAGTAAGTACATACTATCAATGATGAGTAACAAATAGAATTGTTTATTCTGTCAGATTATCTTTTAATTTAAATGTGATGCTATATACGGACCTATAACTTCAATTTCAAATGCAATCCTTAACTTTTAATACCAGAAGCAATTTTTGATTCTGATAAAAAGAAAACTTAGGACATCTATAAACTATTTTTTAAAATGCTAGAACTGGCTGACAAGTCTAAATATTATTTAGTCAAGGAGGCTAGATTTGGGATTAAAATAAAAGTATAAAATACAGTAATATCGAAAATCAGATCAAAATATTTTGGAAAAAAAGGAGAAAAAAAATCCAATCTTTTATTTTTCTCAAAATTGCAAAAACAATTGTTCTGCTTAGCAGCAGTCCAAAACCAAATAATGCTACTAATAATAAAAGAAATAATTCTGAGAATCACAGGATAACAAAATTACTAAATACATTATGAAAGCCATACAATGAAAAAAAAAAAACTGACAGCAAATATCAAAAAAGGATTTTTAAAAATGAAGACATTTACAAAACAGTAACAAATTTTTAACCAGTGGATTTGATCAGTCTCAGGAACTACATTTTGAAACATGCTAAAAGTTTCTCTTCCAAGTGACTCTAGTCATGAAACAGGAAAGTAAAACTAAGTGAAATCGTATATGTTAATGAAATAGCAAAAGTGTAGGTTTGTAGGTGCTAAGAACTGTAATTCTATTTCAAAATATTTTATGAAAAATTTAAATCTTCTCATTAATTGTATAAACCTTTTGAAAGTGCTTATAAAATATAATTCTGAAAAGAAAAAATAGGTTAAGTATATATTTTATTTGTTGGCCAAGAAACACAAAATACGCACAAAATTGTTTTAAACAAACATCTAAAAAAATTTTAAGTTAATTGCCTATTCTTTAATGAATCCTCAGCAACATGACAAAAATCTCAATAAAGGAAGCTGTTTGCAGCTGAAAAGTTGCTTAAGATATGTTGTTATAAACTAAAATTACACATCAATGACAAATAATGAATAATTTCAAGTCCCTTCACATGCGGACATGTTAAATTACTTCTATTTTAGTTTACCCAAAATATTCTTTCCCCCTTAAGAATAACTATTTCAACAAAACAGGAACACTGACAGTATAACTGCATTTTAGGAACAATTAAGAATTTTTCCTGAAAATGAATGTTATTTAACCTGCAAAGTGCATTTAACCAAAAATATAAACACTGAACAAATAAGTCTATCAGTGGAAAAAAAAAATAACATAGTAAATCCTTTCCTCCAAATCTTGACATAACAAACTACTTATCAAGGATTAATTAGATATAGATAATCAGGTTTGCAAATTTAAAACACTCTAAATCCTTAGAAAATGTCCTTTAAAGGAAGGCTAGCCAACTGCACACAGTAGTAGTAAAGGCCTTTATTAACCTGTCTTCTAAAATAACACATACTACTAATTAGGTTAAAGTTTCTTACCCTGTAAGAGCTGCCCAAATAAAACTATTAATATTTGCATCTAGTCTCTTAGATGTTAAATTATTTAGTATAGCTAAATATATGGAAGTTTCTAAGTCAGAATATAGCTATAGAGGGATGACTTTAGGATGTTAAGAATTTGTGTCCAAACAGTAAGTTTTGACAATTTTAAAGATCACAAATCATAAACACCCCAAATTAGAAACAACTCTGTGGATTTAGGTCTTTACTCAAAATATGAACTCAAAAGCTATCTCTCTCTTCCTCCATTTAACAGTAGGCTATGTGTAAAAGATATCTGGATTAAAAGTGAGAAACTGAATCTAGTTTTTTTTCCCCCCACTCAGAAACCTTATTTTTCACTTTCTGTCTTTATATTATCTAGTCTGAAAAATCACTGGTTAAATTAGAGGGGGAAAACTTGTATTCATTTTCATCCCCTTCAAACTAAGCTGTTTTTTTTCATAACACTGTCAAATCTAAGTATGAAAACATTCTATAACCTTGTATTTATCTCCAATAGTATTATAGTGACACTTTACAGAATAATGACACCAATATCTGAACTTCACCCTTAAACTGATTTCTATTAAATATTAACATTTTATTTAACTTTAACTGTTAATGGATTCACATTCCTGGATTATCTACCTATTAATAAATATCGAATATTAGTTTTTAAATATTTTGATCTGTATTTCCATGTTCAAACATACATTGGAGAATTTGGAAAAAAAAAACAAAACTGAACATTGTTTAAAGATACAAGCAGTTCTATGACCACAATTACACTTCACTCTTAAGACTACATTACATTTTTCTTATGAAAACAAATCTTTGTTATCTACATTACATTTTCCTTATGAAAACAAATCTTTGTTATCTACCATATCCTCTATATAAAATAAATATTTTTAGGAAAAAAAATTTAAAGAAAAAATTGTAGTATGCTTTATTTTAGTAGAGCTCACTTTAGCATACACTTTATAAAACAACACTATGGTTATTACTTTATCATGTGACTAATATTTTCAGCATGCAAAAATTAACCAATATTTAGCAATATTGCTCAATAAGTTCATTTACATTATACCAGATCATTATTTAGAAAACAGTCAAATGTTTTACTAGGTAAGTATCTGAAACTTTCAACTAAAACTGTAAAAAAAAAATCAAAGAAAATAAATATACTAGGAAAGTGGCCCTCTGATAAAGTATTTTCGAGGTAAATATAAGTCACTGGAACATTCTACATTTTTAGAGTTTGCAATTTTTGATATGAACAGTTTAAATATTTTACTCAGAGTATCTATGAGTAAGACACTAGTTTCTGCTTAAGAAAGTGGGTTTTTCAGTTTCAACCAAAATGCCACCCTTGGTTAGGATGGTATTTGGAATACTTTAAATTCTCTTAAAGTAGTTTTATTAATCTTATCTAATCTTGTAGGCTCTACCTATCACTATATCTGTCAAACAGCCAAGCACCAAATTCTACCTGATTTAAACCCTCCATTTTGAGATGAAAAGTCCACTATGTAATTCTTCTATATAGAAGTGTAATAATATTAAGAAAAAAAATCACTATATAATTCCTCTATACAGAAGTGTAATAATGTTAAGAAAAATCACTAAATATGTATTTTTAGAATAAATTCAGTTGGAATTGGACCTAATAAAATGTGATGAGAATATCAATTATATTTTAAAAATCTGGAGTTTTTAATAAGAAAGAGAAGTCCACCTTGGCCACTTCACAGATTTCTGTGAATAAATCTTTATTGATTTTAGCTCACTTAATAGTTCTAGCTTTACTGTCTAGTTCAATTACATTGCAAAGAAATAAAATAGCACACTTTTAAAATTCATTAGTATACCTTAATCTCCTATCATGTTCCAATGCATTATGTGAATGTTCAATCAAAGAAGTTAGGTTGTTCTCCAGAATTGGCTCTCTCCTAAAGGTCAAAACCTGCAATAAAAATGTCATGTATTATAGCATGAAGACACTCAACAGATTTCCGCCTCCTGCAGTTCCACAGTTGATCCCTAAACACTGAGGTAAAATCTTCAAAATGACCCCAATGTTGCCTGTGTTCAAAGAAACCGTAACTTGAAAATGTTTTTTAAATAGAAATAACTTGATTAGAAACACCTGTGATATGCTTTATCATCTGAAGCCTCTTCAAACAAATCAGATTAATATATTTCTGCTTTCATTTCTCTTTAGGGCATTCGTTTTCAAAGTATTTTGTGTGTGTGTGTGTGTGTGTGTGTGTGTGTGTGTGTGTGTGTATAGTAGGTAAGTGCTGGAGGACTGTTAAAGGGGACTCCATAAGGAATATACCAGAAATATAGTTCGTACTTCTGAAACTCATAAAATCCCACTGTTAAAAAAAAAAAAAAAAGACTCAAAGGACAGAGGTAGATTTTTAACTATCTTTCTCCCCAAATCATCAAATATTTTAATGACAGAAATTACCGTTATTCTTATGTTTAATCTTTTGCCATGCCCAAGTGAACAAATTATACTGATATTTCCAAATATTGTAAGACATTGCAGTTCTAACAGAACAAAATTTACAATTAACTTTTTAAACAAATTGAAATATTTGTAAGTAACAACTATTGGGCCAATGGTTTTTAAAATATTTAAAACAGATTACACCACAAAGAGATGTGGTGTAATCAAATGTGTACAAGTGGCTTCATTTGTTTCACCTGAATCTCAATGATTTAGTGGTAATCAACTGTATAAAAATATAAGGTTGTTAAACTACCAAAGGTTTATAACATACTATATGTTAACCATAATGCTCATGGTTTTCTACTTTTATTTAAGAATAGCTTAGCAAAAGAAATAAAAGCCAAAAAACCTTTATTCCTCTGCCGCCAAATATTTGATTGTTTAATGACAAAAACCACACATGTATAACTCACAGACACCAATCCAAATACCTTGACACTGAAAAATTAAAATCATTTCTACATAGTCTTCCTCAAAAGATACAATGTTTTCTGTATTTGAGCACTCTGAAAATTAAGGTATTGTAACTTTAAAAATCACAGAAGGAGAATAGTAGAAACCAGTATGTACTCCATGCCAAGTGTAAACTTTTTTAATAGAAGGAAAACAACAAAACTAGATAATAAAGAACAAAAGAGGTTCGGATATAAGACAAATATTAAACCAAATGTGTATAAGGAAAAAAATACGTAAAAAAAAAAATCTCTAAAATAGTACAACTCAATACCAAATCTATTACAAAATACAGTTTAATATTTATACTTCGAACCCAGGGCAAAGTCTTTCCAGTGCAAAGATTTTTTTAGTGAAATAAGACAGGAATAAACAAAAGTATACTAAACTCACAATTTGATAAAAATTGTTGAGAATAAAATTCATACATATATTTAATATCAATTCCAATATTTGAAACTTGTCTTTCTAAAAGATCCTAAAAGGAGAAAGACAAAGCGGGGGTGGGGGGGGGGTGGGGGAGGCAAAAGAAAATCATTTCCTTAAAAGAAATCAATATTTATAGAAAGGCTCTACAGTTACTTGTCAATGCAAATAGACAAATATATAAACATGTATTAGTAACATAATATTCTAAAATTGATGTTACTTTTAGAATGTTAAGACAATCAGGACTTTAAAGTTCTAATACTATCACTTGTAAAAATTTAAAGCAAAATGGTTTAATCTAATTTTTGACACTTATTTGAAAGAAAGTGGTGGTTATTACTGATTTCCTTTGGTCTTAAATTTAGGACTAGCAAATTTCAGCAAGTCATAGTTTGAATCTAATTACATGCCAAAATTAGTTGTCTCGCCACAGTGTTTCTAAGTTTGCTGAGTAAAAACTAATAATAAGAAATAACAAGACGACATGTACATGAATACTCTGGTATGACAATTCTGAGAAGTGTTTTCTAGTTATACTCAGACCTATAATCTGTTTCTTCTAAAAAAGGGTTAAAAAAAAAAAATCAGTGTGGGAATTATTAAGCTTCACTAAACAAAAGGGAGAAAAGACCAGAGCAAATTTTAGGGCAGTAATTTTTGAAATGAGAGAAAAAAATTATAGAATAAAATTTCAAAATCGTGTGTCTAATTGATTTATTTTTAATTGGAGAAAACTTATGTATCATGTAGAAGAAATATCTAATAGAATCTCTGAGCATTTATTTTTTTCTTTTTGTAAGCCAAATTAACTGACCAATATTGAAGTATATCGTGACATTTCGAATAGTTACTGCATACCAATAAACAGAAATGTATATTTATACACGTCTTCACAACAAAAAACAAAAATGCAGTACACAAAGTATGATGAAACATGGGATCCAGAATACGAAAGCTATTTTGAAATTTTTATCCCTAGTTCCGGTTCTTGATAACCTAAAAAGGGGTATTAATCTGATCACAAAAAATGCGGTGTTACATACAGCAAACACCTGAGGCTACATTTTGTAAATGTACAACTAAGACAAGAGCATTCAAGCAGTCTAAAATTGCACTTTTACTTGGAATTTTAAAAATACTATGAAAGGCAAACAAATGAGAATCAATGCTACTAGGAAGACTAACACCTTACACCTTCTCTCTAGTGCCCTCTCCCCAATATTATATAAACATATCTTTTAAAAAGAGTAGAGCGGCTGGGGCGACACCTTTCCCTACCATTGTTTTCCAGTGATAATATAGGACTTTCCTAGCCCTTGCAATGGAAAATGAATTATCAATTTCCACAGAGTAACATGGATAATACAAATAACATACATCTCTTGGAACTTATAACCTACATGCCCACAAATGTAAAAACCCGAATCTTCCTCTTATCTAGCATCACATAAAGGAAAAATATTTTGAATGCTATGGATTTTAGTTAGGTGCTAGTGCATTCTCAAGCTTTAAGTGTAGTATTTTAAATAAAGAAAGCCTTCACTTCTTTTTAAAAATGGCTTATGAAACAAAACAATCCTTCACCCTCACCCCTCAAAACAAACAAAAAAACCCATAAACCAAAGCACTAAAAAATATGGTTAAATTTAACCAGCCTGGTGAACTTTAAAGCCTTTCCCCACCCCATCCTCAAAACTCCGTAAGTCACATAGTAATTTAAGTGAAAATTAAAATACAAAACCCCAAACAACAACAGTCAAAAAAAAAAAAAAAAAAAAAAAAAAACAACCCACAAAAACCCACTAGTTCTGGTATCGTAGGTAAAATCACATTTACAATAGACATAGGGTCTCCTACAACTTCATTAAGTCAAATTTTATAGAGAGGATAATTAGCACCTTTCATGAAATTTTCATGAGACGATGCAAAATAAACAGCTTTGAAAAAAGGAAATGAACAAAGATTCTGTAATTGCAATTCCTGTTACAAAGGCAATACAAAATACTATGATTTATAAACTCAGCTATTCCACTCAATATAAATTTTATTTATAGCCCTACAGAGATTTATAAAAGTCATGGGATCTTTTCATTTGAATATTTTCTAACAATGCATATTTGACCTAATGTGAGACTACAAACTCTTAAGTTTCAAAATTTCAACTGCTATTCATAAAAGAAAATTTCTATTAAATTAAAAATATTTTAAAAAGTATCCTCAACTATCTTGTTTATCACTGAGTTTAGTGATTTTTCTTTTGAAAACCACACCCGCCTTTTATCAGGATGCAATTAAACGGAGTGACAAGTTTGGTAATAAACAGAAATATACTGACGGCTGTCTCAAGCAACATTAAACAAAAATCAACTGAAAACCCACCACGTAAGACACAACACACCCACTCTGCCGCACGCAACATATTTCTTCACAGTGAATTTATCAAGGAATCAAACATAGGCACCTGCGCATACTTACCTGTTGTACTGCCTAAATTAAGCAACGTAAATTCCTTGTGAATCAAGTTTTAAATCTACAGCAATGGCTGAATTACCAAAACCTGTGTGTCTGAAATTAGATGTGAATAAAAATTTAAATACATCCGATTTTTAGGGACAATGTGGAGGAGCTCATCCTTAAGAAAAATCAAAGTTTCTCTTCATCAAAATAAAAGAAACAGTTCTCCCGTCATCTGCATCGAACAAACACGTAGCTGAAGCTGAAAAATTTCTGTTAAAATTAAAAAACAAAAAAACAAAACAAAACAAAAAACCTAGATCCTACAGTCAGTTTCCAACCAGTAGAGAACAGGGGCAAACGCACAAAAAGTCTTGCCATTTCAGCCCCGTAGAATCGCAATTTTTGAGAAAACTGCCTCTCCGGTTTTAGTTTTAATACACATTTTGGAACCATTCGAAAGTCCTTTATGGAAGAAAAAAACAGTGCACTCCAGCCCCCCCCCCCCCCCCGCAGCTCCCCGTCCGAACGTTTCCCATTTCCGTGGTTCTCTCAAAGTGTGATTTTTGGAGAGCCGAGCGTCCTCGGCGGCGTTCGCCATCAGACCCCCGGGCCCGCCGCCGGGCGGCCAATCAGGGGGTCACGAGGCCGGGGTTCGGGGAGCTCCGTTAGACACAATTTGAAAACCACGACCGCGCGCTCTCCCGTTCTCCTCGGGGACGGGCTCTCCGCGAGGGCGGGTCCTCCGGGCTCGGCAGAAACGGACCCGTCGGCCGCGCCGTCGGCTGCGGGGGGGGCGGGGGGGGAGCCCGGGGCTCGGCGCGTCCCGGGCGCCCGCGGACCTCGGCGCCCCCGCCCCCGCGGCCCCCGCGGGCGACACGCACACGCCGGGCCCTCGCCCTCCGCCTCGAGCGCGCGCGCCCCGAGGGGGCGGCGGCGGAAGCCCAGGTGGGGGCACGGGGCCGTTCGGCGGTGCGCGCCGGGGGACCCCGCGGAGACCCCGCGGAGCGGTCTGAGGAGAGCGCGGGCGGCTGAGGGACGCCGCGGCCCGCGCCCCCTGAGGGAGACACCGGAGCCAGGAGCCGACGTCCAGCCCCGGGCCGGGCCGGGCCGGGTCGGGGTCGCCGCAGCCGCCGCGCCGCGCGCTCACTTCTCCGCCGGCCTCGAGTGTTCCTGTCACGGGAAGACGGCGGCCCCGGGCGGCTCCGCGGGGCACGTGGGGGAGGGGACGGCGGCCCGGCTGACGGGGCGGCGGGGCTGCGGGGCGGCGGGGCGGCAGGGCGGCGGCCGCCCCGTCGCAGCGCCCGCGCCCGCGCCCCCTCCCCCGTCCCCGCCCGCGCCCCGCGCTCCCGCCACATTCCGCCGCCGCCGCCGCCCGCACTCGCCGGGGCGCCCCGGAGCCCAGCGCCGCGCGCCCGCGGCCGGGACGGGACGGGACGAGGCGGGCGGCCCCGGCCCCAGGCCCCGGCCCCGGCCCCCGCCCCCGGCCCCCGCCGCCGCCCAGCACTCCCGCCGTTACTTCTTCAGGCTCTTACCGTGGCGGCGCCCCGCGGACGGCCCTCGGCTCCCAGGAATTTGGGGCGATTTTTTTTTTGGTGATTTTTTTTTTTTTTTCCCCCTGCGGAGTCCCAGGAGCGCTCCGATGTCGGACAGGTCGCCCCGTCTCTCCCGCTGGATGGAGGAGACCAGGCATCACTCGAAAATGGCGCCGAAAGCGCTGAGGCTCCTCATTCAAATTCGTTAGAGCCAACCCCGCCGCCGCGGGGCATGCCGGGAACGCGGGCTGCCTCCGCAGCTGTCAAGGCCGCCTCCGCGCCCCGCTCCGGCTTTCCCGGCGCTTCTGCGCACGCGCACACTCCCCCCCGCCCCCCCGCGCGCCCCCCCTCCCCAGCTCCGCGCCTCGGACATGCGCAGAAACCGTCGCTGCCGGCCGCTCGCTCGCTCCGCTTCCTCCGTCCCACGCCTCCGACCTCCTCTCCCGCGCGTGCGTGCAGCGCCCGGGCTCCGCGGCGGACGTGGAGGAGCCGGCGGCGGGCTGCGGGGACCCGGGGCCGCGGGGGCGCCTGTCAGCCGATGCGCGCTGATCCTGCTGTCCGGGGAAAGCAAGACGGGGGTGCAGCTTGGGCGGAACGTAAACCGCTGGGTGGGCAGGGGCTGACCTGCCGAGCGCGGAGTGGGTCTCTAACACCCGGCGGGCGCCACACGTGTGCTTAGGGCAGCCCCGCCCGGGCGCCGAGCGCTGCTGAGCGCCAGCGCTTTGCGGGAGCGGGAGCGGGAGCGGTTGCACGCTGAGCCTCAGCGGAGCCGGACGAGGTAGGTCCCGTCGTCGCTCCCGGTCTGGGCGGACAGACTCGGCGGGACTCGCCCCCCCCCCCAGGCGCAGGTGGGAAGGAGCACGTGCAGGAGCGCGCAGCTGTCGGACCCGAGCCGGAGCGCCGGCCCGCGTGCGTCGGCTGTGCGGGGCCGGCTGAGCACACGCGGGAGGCGTGGCGCCCTAACCCCGGCTCCGGGCCGCCCGCTGCCGTCCGCGCCGTCCGGTCCCGCTCGTCCTGGAACGGCTCCGTCTTGGGGAGCTGAACGGGCGCTCCTGGGCCGTCACTTGGTGTGAGGACGATGACGACGACGACGATGATGATTTTCCCCTTAAAGGGTGGGGAGGGACCTGAAACTGGCAAAGACGGGTTTCCGTGGTGCAAACCCGTTGGTTAAAGCCCCCGGAGCTGGACACCCGGCCCCGCGGCTCTCGGGCTGGGCCCCGAGCGAACGAACGCCCTGCGGACGCTCAGCACAGCCCTGTTAGGAAGACTCTACTGTCACTTTACACTTGAGGACACCCGAGGCTCAGATTGAGAAATTTGCCCCTGAATCTTCACGAGCACCAAGTACAAGCACAACAAGCACGAGACCTAGGCAAATCTGTGCTCCCCGTTAAAAAAAAAAAAACCTGGGAGCTAGGATAGGGCAATCAGGGATGACAAGGTGGTATTTTAGCAAAGTTTCCTTTAAAAAAAACCTCTTTTCATTATTCATGGGGTTGGGAGAGTTAGCCCCTCCGCCACCAGGCTGGTTAAAATGAAAATGAAAACAAAACCGCTGCCATTGATTGTGAATTACCACGTTTTAAGATTATTTTTTGACTGGTTACTTTTTTTTTTTATCTCTCTCTCTCTCTCTCCCTGATCCCAAGTTATAATGAATTTTCCAAAGAATCTTAACAGTTTAAACTCTGGGGGGCATTGTCACTCCCCCGCCTCCCCGGTTTTTGTTGCAAAACAACTTGTGATGGACCATCACTGCCGGAGCATACAAAAATATACATCGTCGCGAGGGTTAAAGGAGACGGTGGATATTGAAAGTGCCTGACGAAATGGGAGAAGGCTTGCGTGATTGGCATTATTGAGTTGCAATTAGAAAAGAAACTATTTTAATAACCTGAGGTCATCGAGAAATGACACTGCAGAGTGGTACGTTTGCCTTATATCTTCTCTATGGTACTCTGGAGCACTGGTTAAATGCGTGGACTCTGAATCCAAACTGCCTGGATTTGGATCTCAACTCTGTTACTTACTAGCTTTGTGACACTGAGTTTTTTTGGTTTTTTGTTTTTTTCTCTCTCAGTTTGCTCTTTTGTAAAAGGAGTAACGTCACTATTTCATTGGGTTGTAAGGATGTAAATGAGTAATATAGTAAAAGCATTTGAATAGCGTCTGGTATATTAGTAAATGTTAGCTGCTGTTGTGAGTCAGTCATTAACACTTATCTTGTAAAAGAGCTTCTTGTGTTTTAAAAAGTTTCAAGTTAACGCCTTTAAGAGTTAAGCATTTGTATTCAAAAGCCCCTTACGATGATAGATAAATCAGCCTGACAAATTATTCTTGCCGAATAGGAGTAATGGTTTCTGCCAGATGAATAAGGATGTTGATTTGTTTCATTGTTTCATAAGAGTATCATATGGAAATGGAATAGTTTTGTTGCTTTTTCTAATTATTAAAATTAAGGGGGAGGGGAAGGGGAAAATCAGACGTCTAAAATATAAAGTAGAACCTATCCAAATTTCTATCATCCAGAGATAAATACATATTCTTTTTTCTTTAAAAACGTATCTGTGGTGAGAATCGGCTTGAGGTAGTCTGGATAAGTGGTATATATGGGGAGCCTATTTACACAGTTGAACTTGGTGAACTGGTCAATGTTTGATCTAGCCCCCTTTTAGATATATTGTGGCAAGAGAAATCTAAAGTGATGATGTTGTGGGGAAATAACATTTACTGAGTTCCTACTGTGTGTCAGCTAAGCATGTCTATGCATTTCCCCCTTGAATCGAAATAACATGTGAGGCTGGTGCAATTATCTCCATTTTGCAGAGTAAGTTTACAGGGAGGTTACTTTAAGAAGATTTGAGCCCTGTTTTGTTTAAGATAATTCGATAAACCAAAAACCCTTCATAAGTCTTCTCGATTCACCAAAATGGGAGAAAACAAAATCGGGTAAGTAACATGGTTCCTATGCCTGAACAAAAAGCCCAATTGGAAAAAAATGTTTTGAAAACCAAGACGTTTATGTTTGGCCACAAGGGGGTGCAAATAATTGACTTGAATTTTAAGGGGGAAAAGAGTGCTTTAACTTCAGAATATCAAATTCACAGGTAAAAACTAGTGAGAATACCTTAGCCAAACTTTAAGAGTCCACATAGTTGTGTGCTTTATGGGAAAAAAGAACTCAATTATTTAGGAACTCAATTAGGGCAGAAGTTTTCAGCTTTCTTTATCTTAAATATGGTGAGTGAACAGCCCTACCCCCACTCGTTTCCACCCACCCCATTTGTGTCTCTGCATACTCTTTACTTGTCATAACAGTAGAACTGAAGTCATAATTTAAAATCTGAGGTTTTACTTGGAAACGAATGCAATCACCAGCAAACGAATGGTAAATATGGGTAGTGTGGAGAACAGAGGTTTCATGATTTCAATGCTTTCGTTCCCTCCTGCTGTTTCTAATGAGTAAGCTGCAACTGATGGAATGTTGGCTTCAACATATTAACTTATTTAGATAAAACTATGAAAGCTATAGGTCTGTTCATCTTTACACAAGAATGAAGACCTTTGAAGAAAACATTTTGAACTGTAGCTTGACAACTTAGTATATACTGGAGAATGTTTTAAAGACAATTTGCTTAGATTTTTTTTTTTTTTACAGATTTTATTTATTTGAGAGAGAGAGAGAGAGAGCACGAGAGAGCAGGAGGGAGAGGGAGAAGGAGGAGCAGACTCACCTGTGAACAGGAAGCCTGATACAGGGCTCCATGACGTGAGCTAAAGGCAGATGCTTAACCTACTGAGCCACCCAGATGCCCCTTTTAGATTTTTTTTTAAAGATTTATTTATTCATGAGAGACAGAGAGAGAGAGAGAGGCAGAGACACAGGCAGAGGGAGAAGCAGGCTCCATGCAGGGAGCCAGATGTGGGACTCGATCCCGGGTCTCCAGGATCACACCCTAGGCTGAAGGCAGCGTTAAACCACTGAGCTACCTGGGCTGCCCTTAGATGGGTTTTAAAGTAACTTTTATTTTCCTGTTGGCCTTGTTTCTCTAAAGTGGACTTAATTTTTTAAAAATCTTTTTACTTAGAATTAATCTAAAATTGGGTCACTCTGGTGGCTCAGCCAGTTAAGAGTACCATTTATGATTCTGGCTCAGGTCATGATCTCTTGGGTCCTGGGAGCCAGGGAGGAGTCTACTTGAGATTCTTTCCCTTTGCCCCTCCCTCTCCTCAAATAAATAAATCTTTTAAGAAAGGAAATAATTTAAAATTTACAGAAAGTTACAAAAATAAAAATAGGTCAAAGAGCATCCTTATCATTTGCTTGCTCTTGTGCAGGGTCTCTCTCTCTCACCACATACATGTAAACTTATAACTTTTTTCTGAACCATTTGAAGTTAAGTTATATACATCTTGGCCTGCCACCCATGAATACTTGAGTGTATTTCCTATCAATTCACAAATTTATATTGAAATAATACTTCAATCTACCACCATGTTCCAATTTTGTAGCTTGACCTTGGAGCATTTCCCCCTCCAGTATAGGAGCCAGTCTGGGGTCAGGTTTTTTATGACTCACTTGAAGGTAAGTTTAGTTATATCATGACCTTTCACCTCTAAATATCTAAGTCTGTATCCAGATTAAGGTAATAGGAGCACCTTTAGTATGGGTACTATGCCTTTATGATATGCCTACATCTTTTTTTTTTTTTTTTTGAGCACTTTCTTACTTTCTGGTATAATAAGATGTTCCATGTTTATCTTATTTTTATTCCACCCCAACCCTGGAATTAGCCTTTTCTGTAAGGAGCCCTGTTTCCTGTTAGTTCAGAATAGTATTAGAGACCAATGCTCATACTAATGAGGTGTCTCTGCTGCTTGGATCTTTCATAAGACTGAACCAGGAAATATATACATATATACAAAATATATACACAAGCAAAAATGTACATACATAGAGACCAATGCTAGGTATGCTCATACTAATGAGGTGTCTCTGCTGCTTGGATCTTTCCTAAGACTGAACCAGGATATATACAAAATATATACACAAGCAAAAATGTACATACATATGACTGTGTATACACTTATGTACATACGTATATTGATGTCAGTTTATTTATTTTTATTTTTATTTTTTTTGATGTCGGTTTATTTTTAAATTACCTTCATTATAATTGAGAAGATACCGTAGCAACCATTTATAAAGTTCTGAATAAAGGCAACGAAATCACAATTCACATAAACCACTCATACAATTTTCATGTTCCCTTTTAGACAATATCTATACATATAATTTTAAAGGGTCACAGTGTGAAATCAGTTTTCTTTGTCTTTTTCCACTTAACATGTCATGTCATTAGCATCTGTGAGTTACTATATCATTTATAATTTTCATTCTAAGTTGCTCTGCTACATTGTCATTTAGCAGATTCTAACATTCTTCTATTGCTGGACATTTAGATTGTTTCTAGCATTTTGCTTTATAAATAATTCTGATGTGAACATTTTTTTATGCATATACTGTTGCTGATTGATTTTCCTATTTATTTGCTTATTTATTGGAAGACTTCCCAGAAGTGGGAATACCAGTTCCCATAGGTAGGTATGTCCTCCTTGATATGTTTTGGCACACAGATTTAATCAAACATTTACCAAAGTCCACATTGGGGTTGGATATATAAAGATGAAAAATATGCAGTCCCTGATAGGAAGGAACTGAAAGTCTAATGGAAGTTAGATAAATTCTCTAAAAATGACAAATAAATATAGACAAAGAGTAAACCAGGTTAGAAATAAATGATTCAGGAAAGCTTTTCAGGAGTAGAGCTGTATCTTGAGGGATACATCAACGGAGCCTTAAAGGATTGGGGTTATTCCAGTCTGAAAGAGAGTAGAAATAGGCCATAGAAAGCATTTTAATCATAACTGTTGGAGTGTAAGAAGACAGAAATCAGGAAGAACTTGCATGTTCGAGAAAATTCAGGTAGTTTGATTTGTTGCATGGCTTTGGAGGAGTTGAGAAAGTTTAGCCTGATCGAGTGGATAGAGGTTAAACCATGAAGGGCCTTGCATGTCACCTTTATAAAATGCAATTGAAAAATCTCAAGCCAGTGAGGAATATGATCAGATATATATTTTAGAAACTCGCTTTAACAAGGATACTGGAAAACAGATTCGAAAGTGTGAGAGCGGTGGTTGAGTCCTTCAGATGCTATTGTAGAATCCAGGCAAGCAATAAAAAAGTAGTTGAACTAAAGAAGTAGAAATGGTGACATTAAGTACAAAAGGGACTGAATTTGTTTATTCAGTATCAAAATGTAGGTATTTCCAGATAATTAGCACCTACTCTGTGTCATGTATCGTGCAAGGTACTAAAAATATTATAGTCACAGTTCCTCACCTTGTGCAGTCTAGTGAGAGAAACAATGTTTAAGTTAATAGTCTTACAAATTACAACCGAGATTAAGTGCTATAACAAAAATACAGATGCAGTGAAAGCATACACCACCATGGAGACCTAACACTTGAAGTTTAAGTAAGGCCTTCCCAAGGTGAGACAGTTATGCCGAGGCTTTGGAGTTAACTAGGCCAAAAAGAGGGTAAGAACATTCTAAGCAAAGGAAGAGTGTAAGTTAACATACTGAGCAGGAAGGACCGGTAAATTCAATGCCCATCTGGCTAGAACAGAGTAAGTAAGAATGGAAAAAGCTGGAAGGTTAGGACCTAAAGAGGAGGTTTAGGAGGCTTTGTTTATGGAGAAGTGAGAGGAGGAGATCTGTCACAGGACTCCTTTGAGGTTTCTGGTGTGGGCAACTGAATGGCTGTGGGCCATTTCCTGAGATAAGGAAAAGAGAACAGAGGTGATGGATTTTGATACATGAAGTATTGATTTTTAGATGCCTGTGAGTCAAGTGTATCTTCCC